GTATTGTATTGTATTGTATTGTATTGTATTGTATTGTATTGTATTGTATTGTATTGTAAACGTACTAGAACAAGTCTTCCAGCTGGTTCATGAGTTGTGGCCGTTGTAGCATGCCCATGGTCACATGATCATGATTCATGTGCTTGGCAATCAGTGAGCACTTACAACAGTTGCCCCCCCAGGGATCATGTGATCACTATTTGCAACTTCACTACTGGATTTCAACAAGCAAAGTTAATGGGAAACAGGCAGGAAGTTGCAAGTCAGTGACATTAATTGTAACAACCAAGCACAATCTGCTTAACATCCATAACGACTTTCATAAGCTAGTGCAGTCGTGTGAGTTTTCACTTTACAACCACACTGACGGAATTCCCGACTGCAATTACAGTTGTTAAATGGTGACTCCCTGTATTGCTTATCCTGCAAGAACCGTGCATTTCTTTCTTTACTAAGGATTTAACGCTTACTTGAAATACAGTTCATTTAAAAATGAACACAGTACACAGTTTCTGCCCGAAGAATCCATTCAGTTATTTACCTATATAATTTACCATTATCTTCAAAATCATCTTTGCCCCATCGTCCTTTGATATCTTCAATAACGTGATTCTTCAGGAACTTTTTGAGAAGCTGAACTGTTTGAGCACGAGTTACTTCTGGGCTAAAGTTTTGGTTGCGTCTCAGCAGTTTGTGCAACCACTCCACAGCCTCAGAAGCTGTGAAGCAACCTTCGTAGCTTTTGAAGTGAAAACGATGTTTCCGTAAAGGCATTCCATTTCGAAAGAGCTCAACAGTCTCATTCCACTGAAAAGAAATATGAAAGTTTTATCTAAGCACAAGTTAGTACTTGTTGGGGTAGCACCTGAGAAGGAACAAAAGAGTGTATGAAGAAACCTAACTTGTACCTTCTAATTTAAGCTTTTAGGCTTTTTCCATATTAGCCAAGCTCTTTCCAGTTTTTATATATTATTTCTAATCAGCAAGTCTAAAAAAAGGGCCTGGTTGTTTTTCAGGTTGTTTTTCAAGACTTTTTCCAATATAAGCACATTCCCTTTTAACAACCATACGTTCTAAAATCATGCTTGAACACATTCAGGTTTTAAATTACTTGAGCATAAATCTGCTTTGATTGGTGTATATAAATAGGTGCACAAAACTGTGACATGGTGATTTGTGTGTTGAAATTCTCAATCACAGTTGTCTTAATATCGGCCATTCATTTTACACGGTTTTATTTATCTTAAAAAGTTGTGTCCCGTTTCATTGCTCATAAGAAATAAAAAATATGGAGAAAAATTGATTGCCTTCAACACCTGTCTTTGTTCATATATCACAGGCAAGACTTAAAGCCTATTTCTCTTCACAGAGGAAGAAGAATAACACTCCCTATACCTCAGAGGTGGCAACATGTTGTTTTTCATTGAAGTTTTCATAATGCCTAGCCACTGCCCAAAGCTGTTAGGATGGATATGAGTGGAAGACCAAGCATCTGGAAAGTCCAAATAACTACATTTGTATTTTGCAATATTTTGTAAAGTTTGTAGTTGTTTTATTTTAATTTTGTTGGCTGCCCAAAGTCAATTGTTTCAATAGGTGGCCATAGCAAATGAATGATATTCCTTACACTTTATATGGAGGTCATCGTATAAATAACAATTTATGGCAATTATGATGAAGTTGCATTATTATTTTCTAGAACCATCGTTCCTGCCAGTCTTTGTAACTTCAGGTAGCTCTATTTTTCTTATCTCCATCAAATGTGCATGTATCTATGTACATTTATTCATAATTGGGGCAGGAGGCAAAGATTCAAATCAGGAGTAATGTTGATAATAAAAGTCTCTATAGAAATCTAAGGATTTTTTTTCTCACACTGTTCAAGGACCTGCAAAAATTCATAAACTGGGTTCATATTGAATTATAAATTTTAATCATGGGTTATTTAACAAAATCTGGTGGCTAGAAATGCAAAACACATCCACACCACCCCAACAAGCACTTAAAAGATTCAATGTCCTGAAGAATATTACATAGGTTTAATATTGCACAAGGCCATTGTTTCAGTAAGTCCTTGACTTACAACAGTTCATTTAGTTTACAACAGCACTGAAAAAAGTGACTTAGAACTGTTTTTCACATTATATTTCACTTAGCAACACAAATGTTGGCCTCAGTTGTGGTTGTAAGTTGTGGTCCACCTGTACCTGGAATCATCATTTGTTGGATGCAAAGTTTTAAGTGTTAATTTTTAAAAAAAACCTCCAAAGATTTCTGGAAGAAAGGCTGTAGCTTAGTCTTAATTTGTGGTATTTCTAATACTCTTTTTAAAATTAATGTGATAACAGTTGGAAATGTATTCTCTCATCTACCATATAAAATAACGCAGCCCATTCAAAGCTTTAACACCACACTCTGCTGCATCGTAAACCAGTGATCTATTAATGAAGATATGGGTGCTGCGTCCATAAAGAAAATACAAACTCAGTTTTGATAAGGCATAAGACAAAGATGAGCAGCTATTAGGGATACCTCTGTTTTGCCTGCAAAATATCTGACTGAATCTCTGAAATGTTCAGGAGGGCTAATGTTTAGGTCTGACTCTCTACAGATACATATCATTCAGGAGATTAGAATTTGAATGCTACCCTGACTAGTAATGCAGTGGCTAAGGTGCTGAGCTTGTCAATCAGAAAGGTCGGTAGTTCGGCGGTTCGAATCCCTAACGCCACACAACAGAATGAGCTCCCGTTACTTGTCCCAGCTTCTGATAACCTACCAGTTCGAAAGCATGTAAAAATGCAAGTAGAAAAATAGGGACCACCTTTGATGGGAAGGTAACAGCGTTCCGTGCACCTTCGGCGTTTAGTCATGCTGGCCACATGACCATAGAGATGTCTTCGGATAATGCTGGCTCTTTGGCTT